TTGTCTTCAATCTTCACGTGTCACCATCTAATACATTCAACTATCGAGTCCGAGTTTCGACCCATAAACCTTCCCCTTTAGTTATTCTTACGGAACGCGAATTCAAATTAATTGAGATCCTAAAATGAGTACCGAGCATCAGATTAAAAAAATCACAGATTTGGAATAAAAATACTAACGCAATGACACTTTTAATTTGCCCTGAAAATTTATCTCCCTCTAATCGTAATGGTTTCTAGAAATTTCTCTTATATAGATTAAAGTCATTTAACATTATATTCATTGATGCACTGAAAAAACCAAAGAACATGGTAAGTAAGAAACTAGCAACAATATTATGCTCTTTATGGGTTCAATAGTCCACAAATAATTCAAAAGTCACTCAAAAAGTCTAAAAAGAGAGACTTGTGAAGTCCCCACTAAAGAAACATGCGCATAGACCATAGTAGCGAAGAGTGATGACTTATGAGCTATCCTTTTCTATATATCTTTATAAACTTATTTATTTGTATTTTCTTTTTCTTATTAAATCTCAAAAGAACTTCATGAAACAAGAGTTTAAGATAAAGGCTAAATTTATCGGTCATCATTTAAAATTAACATCAATTTTTACTTAGATATTTCAAATGCGTTTTGATCATTTTAAACACCTATAATAGAGTTTTGTTGTATCATTGTGATATTTTTTAAATATCAACAAAATATTTAACAAATACTAATTCTCTCCTTATCAAGAAATAATTGAATTTGGCAGAATCTAATACTTTAACGATTGAACTTTATATGTATGTACGAAAAAAACATAGATAAAAATCAGATATACATTATAAAATTCATTCTCTTAAGTTTTGACTTGAAACACGTAATTTTAATTTTTATTCTGAACTCGTCACGATTTCTCAATCCGCAACATAAAAAATTAAAACAAATATCCATCAAGCACATTTATAAGTAGTAACGAATAGCAACTTCACGAGAAATTTTATGATGGGAGAGCTTCCAGTGGTCTTCTAGCCTTAGAAGAATTCGTGTCCGCCCCCGGCATCTGCAACGTCCTCCTTTGATATTCTAATCTGGGAGAACTAAAAGAGGCACAAGCATGGAATTTTTTTACCATGCATGAGGCACAAGTATGATGTGACAACAGACAAGAGTTGTACAAGGCTCATTTATATTTTGCCAAGCGGATCCATTTAAGAAAAATGGCCAAACTCATCTTTCTCTCTCTACCTTTTAACGTTTAACGTTTTCTTTTTCTCTTTCTTACTTTTTTTACTTTTTTTCCTTTAGTTTCTTTTCTAACAATTCCAAATTTTATACTTTCACTTAAATAACTTTAGTCATGAAAAATATGAAATCAAAAAAATCTTGTCGGACTCATTCTATTTCTAACATTTTGATATTATTTTTTATCTCAATATGATTATTTATATTATTAAAAATAGTTATAAAAAATTATTTGTTTATTTACAAAGATATAATTAATTTCATTTTTTCTATCTTATTATAACAATTAATTATTTTTGAAAGTATAAATAAAATAAATTTACCAAAAAAATTAAGGTATAAATTAGTAAAACTATTATTCTAATTATGATTTCTTAAGAAATTTGTAAAAGAAAAAGTAGATTATTAATATGAAAAATAAAGAAGGTACAAATTTAATAAGTTATTTTATTTTTCTCTCAACAATTTCATAATCCAAAAGCACTTCAATCCACAAATACTCTTCAATAAGTAAATATAACGGAAAGAGCATCAATGATCTTGACAAACAATTGCATAAGTTTTGATATTGTTGTCATGAAATTCAAAAACGAAAAACATCCATAAACATCAACATAAATACATATTATTTCGTCAATTTATACGATATTTTTATTCTTAAAATTTAAGCTAAGTGAAATTTAATAAATATTGTTTATCTACTTTTCTTATACGTTTTTAAGAAATTATAAATATAAATAATAATTTTAATAATTTATTCCTTAATAGAATTTTTTGCAATTTTACAAAATTTATTTTATAATTTAAAAAAATTAATTGTTAGGATTAAAAAAATTACTTATATCTTGATTTTATAAACTAAAAAATAAATGTCAAACAACTATTTATTATAATAGAATAAATAACATAGAATAGAAAAAATAATATTAAAATAATAAACTAAAAACTTATATAATGATCATAAAATTTAAATTAAAATTCAATACGTAAAAAAAGAAAAGCATAAACTAATAAGATCAGCAAATAAAATTCTTAAAAGATTTGATCAACTTGATCTTAAAGAAGAAGAAAATATTAAAAAAATTGAAACACAAAATATATTGAACAACGGGCATAAAACCAAAAAAATGACAACGGGGACTTAAAATGTCCCTTTAAGAGCTTGGCAAATGGGTCTCATCCATGTCCACTGTATGACATGGCGTGTCTCATACATAATAAAAAAAAATTACAAGCATGTTATTTCTTTTATAAATAAAAAATTATGTAGGTCCTATTCTTTTACTTTACATTGTTATTTCTCTTTCCCATACATTTTACTGCACATTTGTCCATTTCTTTTCTTTCCCCTTTTTAAAAAAAGTTCTTCTTTAATTCTTCTTTCCTATAATATTTCAGATCATTTTTTACTTATTAATTTTATTTATTCAATTTTTTTTATATCATCCGATATATTTGTCTTTTTTATATTTGATAATTAACAATGCTGGAGTAATTGGACCCATGTATTTTTCTCCTACCTTTACTATCACCCCTCCTTTTGCCATTTCTTTCCTTTCACCTTTTTATTTTTTTAATTCTGTGTAATTTTTTAATCAGTTTTTTTAATGGTGAATATTATTTATCCAAGAAATATCATTTGTATATTTATATGTGTTCTCCATTTGATAATTATCACGTTGATTATTTTTTAAAAAATATTCGAGAATACGAGAAAAAATATATATAAAATATTTTCCCTATTTGTGGCATTATGGTTGATAGTTTTTCATATAACTATTTACAATGAGTTATATTAAATAAATAATAATTGTACAAAATAAAATTCATTTTATTGTAAAATATTTCAAATCAAACTAAAAAAATAAAGAAAATTGAAAAACCTATTTTTATTAATTTGGTACGATTTATTAATATAAAAATTGATGAAATAATTCAATTTGATAAAGTGAAAAATTGATCAATCATGCTTATATACATATGCCAAATGAGGGATATTAATAGTTTGGTCGAATTATTATCTAGACTTTTATTTTGTAGACGAAGGTTTTATTCTTCATTTTTTATTTTTCTCCACCATTTTTTCTTCTCATATTTTTATGTAATTAAAAAATTAAAAAATGATATACTTGTTAATTATCAAATATGAAAAAAAATTGATCTGAAAAAATTGAATAAATAAAATTAATAAGTGAAAATTGATCTGAAATATTATAGGAAAGAAGAATTAAAGAAGAACTTTTTAAAAAAGGGGGAAAAGAAAAGAAATGGACAAATGTGGAGTAAAATGTATGGGAAAGAGAAATAACAATGTAAAATAAAAGAATAGGACCCACATAATTTTTTATTCATTAAAATTAAATAAGACAGGAGAGAGAAATAATAATATTGAATAAAAAGGTGGGACCTACACTTATTAATTTCACCTACCACAAAAGGGTAGCTTCTTCCTCACTAAATTAATAATTCTAAAGCTTATCAACAATTATAACAAGATTGTTGAGAATGACAAATTTTCAACATTCACGGCTGCAAAAAGATACAATAAAGAAAATATACCATAAAACATATGACACCTGTATATAGTATAGGAGACACTTCATCAAAATTCAAATCTAATAAGAACAAGTAACCAAAACAAAAATCAAACAAAAAATTCAAGTAAAAGAGGTGAATAATTCCGCGTTTGATTTAATGGTCAATAAAATAGGTATTATTAAATTAATTTTGAGATTTCAGATTTAAATTTCAATAAAGATAAAAGTAATAGATAATTTCTTATGATTTATTCGAATTGATGATAGAATTATTTAATATTTATGCTGATGAAAACTATGAATAACACAATTATTTTTAAAAAATGGTTAAAGAGGACCACTTTAAGAAATCAATAGCGTACGTGGTGTGCTTAAAATCAGAAGAATTGGGAATATTGTGTCAAAGCTGAAGTCCTAAAATTGGTTATTTCTTCCTCCAAATGATTATTAATTAATAATACAAGAATCAAAAAGCTATATTTTTTTGTAGCTATTAGGCGACCATATATATCCATTTATATTACTGTCGTTATGTACAGTTCAGGACATTTAAACTATTTTCTTTTCAAAGTATTATGTATATGGCATTAAAAACACGATCAAAATTTCCATTTTTGTGCGTAGAGATTACATTTAAAATTCAGAATTGCCATGGTTCCCCTAATCCAGCAGATATCTCGAAGTAATAAGAAAAAATCATTTAACTTTATTTTATAAAATAAAAATTGCTCAACTAATGATAATTATCTCGAAAAGTCACTTAATTATTGTCATTTCACCGCAAAGACACTTAGTTAGTTGTATAATTCATATCTTAATTAGAGAATTAAATCAAGAAATTCTTGCGTAATTTAGTTGAATGACTTTTGTGTTACAAAACAAAGTATAGTAACTTTTTTGAGATTTAAGTTAGTTGAGTTACCATTTGAGATTTAAATTGCATATTAACTTATTTTACGACAAGAAGTTAATATCCTGAATCGACCTCTACATCTACCTGTTGAGAAGAGAAGTCCTCAATCTCAATAGTATAGCAACAAGTTAAAAAGCAGTGCACATATGGAAGGTATGAATAAATTAAAAAGATATCAAAAATATCCAAAAGAAATAAGTTGGAAAAAGATACACGGCTTGTTAGACAATTGGCTTTAATGAACCAGCAAACCAAAAGTCCCCATCAAATGAAAGCAACCACAATAGATACTTGTTATCATATACTAATAGTTAAATACACCTATTCACCAGTTTTTAAAAATAATTTCTTGTCAATACAAATATTGAAACTTCTCTCTCAACTTGGAACAAATGGAACCAGAACTTGAAAATTCTGAGATTTCCAACTTCAAAAAACCCTTTAAGAACAAGTGTGAAAATGTGAAAAGGTTTACTGATGAGCAAGTGAAGTTACTTGAGACCATGTTTAAACTAGGGACAAAGATAGAGCCAAGAGAGAAGCTGAAATTAGCAAGAGAACTCGGGTTGCAACCACGCCAAGTAGCTATTTGGTTTCAGAACAAAAGGGCTAGATGGAAATCGAAGCAATTAGAACACGAATATCGCATACTTCAATCGAATTTTGACAATTTAAATATGCAATTTGAATCCTTGAAGACAGAAAAGGAGAGATTACTCATTCAGGTATCCTACTTAATTTCTTTAGTGAAGATTCTGACTCTACTGCTACCGCGCAACTTATGGAAACGAATAAACTTTGTTTTGTTTTTTTTCAAAACAGTTGGAGACATTAAATGATCAGCTAGAAAACAACAACACTCGAGGAAGCGGAAGTCAAGATTCAAGAGACAGTGAATTGCAGCATACAAGTCCAGAAAATGGATTTACAGAGTTAGAATTGAAGGATTGTTCAGGTTCGAGATTTGATCACAAGAGTATAAATGAAGAGGATGATGACACAAGAGATAAATACTTCACTCCCAAAGAAGAATCAGAGTTGTGGAACCTGGAGGAATTAGGAGACAATAATTCCTTAGAACATTGGTGTGTTGGCTTAGGTAGTATTTCGAATTCCAAGTTGTGGGACTTTTGAGCCTCACAGATTGTACATAAATTTCATAAAGTAGGGAAGGAATATTTATTTATCTCGGTTTCTCTACTTTTCCATTGTGTCCAAGAATCAGAATGTAGATTGTTTGTGAATCCTTGTTATTGTTCACAAGAAAGCTTAACAAAAATGTTGCAGCTAGAAAAAAATATGCATGCAATGAAAGAGGAAAAAAGAGGTAGCCCGCTACACAAAGCATCTCGTGTTAGCATAGGGGTGAAGAAAAGATCGCACTATAAGGGGTGTAGAATAGGTTGTATATTCCAACTCAAGTAGAAGTCAAGGAATTTTAATATGTGATATATACATAAAAAATAATTTACCTAGCTACGTACATAGTGTAATTTCCGGCAAAAGTATATGTGGCTCCGCCACTGAACACGAGCATCAACGATTGATTTACTACTAAAATATCACAATTTTCCCATTGTAATTTCCTACTGAAAAATGTTTAGCGACTATTCTCAATATTTCAATGAGTATTCGTTAGGATTGGAAAATCATGTTTATAACAATTATTTCTCATGTATTCACCATGGAAAAAGCCTCGATTTTTAATACAGATTCCATTGCTTGAACCTGTAACATATATAAGTCACATAAAAATAACTTTACGATTGATCCAAAGCTTCTTTTGAAAAAGAAAAAAAAAGACCTTTTTTTCTTGTTGTGTGACCATAGTCAAATTGCCTATTACATACTCTCCCGTTTCAAAAATAATAGTCTAGTTTGACTTGAAACGGAGTTTAAGAAAAGAAAGAAGATTTTTTAATCTTGTGTTATAAATTAAAGTTATGTCAAATGTATCAAAATACCCTTTAATCTTGTAGTCTTAAACATGACACCTGAAAAATTGAAGTTAAAGTGTTGTCAAAAAAATAAAAAGGGTCATTTTTTTAAACAGACTGAAAAGGAAACTAAGTCATTCTTTTTTAAACGGATGGAGTATTACGCATAGGATATTTGAAGCTAATTTTGTGTGACCGAAAGTAGAGTTACATATCAAGTAACTCTACTTAAGACAACCGCTAATTAACCAGATTAAGGGGTCGTTTGGTAGGGAGTATTAGGAGAAATAGTCCAAGTATAATGTGTGGTACTATTTAGTACTTTTGGTAGGAATTTTGGGTCTATGTATAATCAATCCATGGATTAGTTATACACCCTACATGGTATTATAGGGTGTATAACTAATACCTTCCATTTGGTGGTATTAGTTCTAATACCATGGGACTAATCTAGGTAAAGACAAAAGTATCCCCTCAAATCCTTTTAATCATTTTGTTTATTTTCTTGATTTTATGTTTTATATTTATACTAATAAATTTATTTAAATAAATTAGCTTACAAATTTTATTATTTAGATATAATTTTTTGTTTCTAAAATATGAGTTATTTAATCTATTTATTATTAATATAAAATATTATAATCCGACTAATATGCTGATGTTGATGTATGAATTTAAGAACAATTCATAAGTCAAATATTGCCTCTTAACGGAAGTCATTTTATGATAAAGAATTTTTTTTAATTTATTGATACAAAACAAAGTTCAATAAATTTCTCTATAAATTATTATAGTTGTGTGACCTTTTGAGATGTTAACTCCAATTTATTAAGATGACAATTATTTACTCTCAAATAATTTAAGTGAGAAAATAGTGAACATGACAATAAAATTTTTAGTCTCCTAGCTAGTTAAAATGCTATAAAAAATTAATATTGTCCGTCAATTATCTACCTTGACCCAATTACATGAAATAGAATACCCCATAATAACTCAAGGGTATAATTGGAAAGCCTTTTTTTTGTAGAGTTTTAAACCACACACAAAACTAGGTAAGAAACAATGAACCAAACACTTGATAAAAATAATCTCTTCATTACTAATCCCTGCATTATTGATCTTTGTACCAAACGACCCCTAATAGTAACACCACTAGAGTAGAGATACATGTAAGTACCTCTACCAATTTGCTGACATTTTTTCACAAATTGAGTAAATTCACTTGAGAAAGATTCAACAATAAGAAACCATGGGGGAAAAGAAAGATAAATTCTAGTTTTGTTCCTAATGATGTTGTCTAACTAAATTAAAACTTCAATTAATTAAAATGTAATATTTTGATCTCTATGCAAAAGAAATTATAACGTGTAGACTATTTAACTAGAATTTTATTATCCCAAATATGAAAGCATGGCAGCAAATATAATTTAACATAAATTCCAGTAATTAAATAATATAGCGCTTAATAGTTTGTTAAATTTCCAAAGATTCACAAAAATTAGGATCAAAATATGTCAAACTAATTAAAGATTAACATGATTAATCAGATATCATATCTGACTAAATTCTCACTTTGTCATCAATATTAAGAGACTAAAAACACAAATAAAAAGAAAATAAAATTTATCCAAAGGTATAAGTTATTTAGAAGATATTTTATTTCATCCAACGACGGTTTGGCCGAGTGGTCTAAGGCGCCAGATTTAGGCTCTGGTCCGAAAGGGCGTGGGTTCAAATCCCACAGCCGTCATTTTTGTTTTTTATTTTTTTAATACCTTTTGATTTTTGTTTTTTATTTTTTTTACGTTTTGATCTGAAAATTTATCCAAAGGTTGTCTTCCTCACCTGGAAGCAATGGCTCTCTGCCTCTCAGCTTCAAAATCCATTGCTTTCAACATAAGATGCAGCAATTCTACAAGTGATTCTCTTCCATCTTCCTCTGTTTTCAAATCCCTCAAAATTCCCCGTTTCTGGCCATGGCAAAAGGTATTTTTCGTTTCATCTCCTTTTGCTCAGCTGCACGAATTTCAAGTTTATAAAGGTTAATTGAGTTGAATTTACAGGTAAAGATGGGACCTTTGACAGTATCTCCAATGGGGTTTGGTACTTGGGCATGGGGCAATCAGCTTCTCTGGGGTTATCAAGATTCCATGGACTCTGAACTTCAGCAGACTTTCAATCTTGCTGTGGAGAATGGTATTAATCTATTTGATACGGCTGATTCTTATGGGACTGGAAAGTTAAATGGACAAAGTGAGAAACTTCTTGGAAAATTCATTCGCCAGTTTCCAGGTCACATTGCTTTGTTCTTGTTTCTCATTAAAAGTACTCCCTATATATATTCATGTTTGGAAACTCTGTCATTAGGAAAATAAACCAATTCTTGCTTTTGAACATTTCACAGGCAGCATTAGGAAGTTTTGAATAACCAATTTGATACATTTTCTTTTTATAACCATGGTGTCTAGGCCATTAGCGGAGCCAGGAATTTCACAAAGGGTGTTCAGAAATAGCAGTACAAAAACTCTTTCCAAAAAGTGGAAAAAACATTTGCTACTAGTGAGAGTCAAACACACAAGCATTGCCTCATTACAAGCTTCTGAAACCATTAGGCTGCAATAGCTTGTTGTGTTAAGGGTGTCCAATACACGTTATTTAATCATTTCGTGTATTACTTAACTTGTATATACGGTATTTTTTTATTGACAAAGGATGTCCAATCCATGTAGCTACGCCACTGGTCTAGACCGCCCTCCACAAGACCACAAACGTAGGGGTAAGGTTTGCATACATACTACTATCCGCATACCCCACTTGTGGGATTACAGTGGCATGTTGGTGGTGGTGGTGGCGGCGGTGTCTAGGCCTCCTCAAATAGTTTTAAATTGTTCTCTTTAGGAACGAGGAGTAGAATTACATTGGTGATTCGGGTGATCCAGTCACAGGACACTTACGTTTCATTTTAATTTCTTCACATTAATGGAAAAATAGAGCAGCACTGAACTTAGCTTAGCTTCCCAACTTTTCATGTTTTTAATATGTTGTTTTGAAGAATTGTTTGCTACTCTCAGCAATTATGTAAATCTGTAACATTGTTTAAACTTTTCAGTTACATAATACCTTCCGTTCTTGGTTGGACTTCTGTCTGAGCATTTGGTGCTCAGTAAGTTGTTAAGGTAACCGAAATTCACTTCTGTTTTCTAAGTTTTTAACTTATCATGTTTTCAGGAGACAAGCAAGTAAAGAATGACATTGTTATTGCAACAAAATTTGCAGCATACCCATGGCGCCTAACACCTGGACAATTTGTGAATGCTTGCAAGTACTGTTCATCCTCATTTCTTCTGAACATACTGATAATCAGAATATTTAACTCCAGTAATATGGGGGAAAAATACCTATTGTAGAATTTTCATTTGATAAGAATTACTACATGTTTGTCAGAAGTGAACTTCAACAAACTTTTAAGAAAAACATTAAGTTCATAATTTAGCTGATTCTTATGAAGCAACAAGATGATTGTGTTAAACAGAACTTTGTGACAGGTCTTCTCTGGATAGGATGCAAATTGAGCAAATTGGAATAGGACAATTGCACTGGTCAACTGCAAATTATGCACCTTTGCAGGAACGAGCTCTTTGGAATGGTTTAGTTGCCATGTACGACAAGGTTACTATTAACTAAAAGTATTTATGTGGAATCGCGTGCATTTTTGTGAGGGAGATTTATATTTTTGGTGTTATTCTGTCACTATTAAAAAATTCTGCTAAATCTGGTCTTTATCATCACCTATGGATAAAATCAAATTACAATGTTTCCATCTCGTGCAGGGTTTAGTTCGTGCAGTAGGAGTGAGCAACTATGGACCAAAGCAGCTGCTGAAAATACACAAATATCTTGATGACCGAGGAGTACCCTTGCGCTCAGCCCAGGTGCTGAGTCTTCTTCCTACTCTACTATTACGTATGCAGTTACCTTTCTTTAACAGATTGTGGGATGCTCTGTTGTTTAAAAGTGTCAAAAACCGAATATGCATTACTTCTGGTTAGTCTAAGAAAATGAATCACCTCTAATGGGACTGACTTACCTGGTACGTACCTGTGCTAGTAGGAGGTAGCATGTATCCCATATTCATTGAAGACACAAGATAGCCTTGATATCACATGTTATCCAAAGAAAGAGAGAATCATCTCTAATGTTCAAACATCGTTAGTGGTCATCAAGTTCCATATGACCAAATTATTTTTTGAATTAATTCGAATCATTGCTTGCTTTGGTGTGACAATCTTACGCCAGTGAGCTCTCCAACATCAGGTACAATTTTCATTGCTGAGTATGGGAAGTGATCAGATGGAGATCAAAAATATATGTGATTCACTAGGCATACGGGTCATAGCATACAGTCCTCTGGGTCTTGGTATGCTCACTGGTAAATATACGCCCTCTAATCTTCCACCTGGGCCAAGGTACACACACTCTCAATTTCTTCCCAAGTTGAATTTTTCTTACTAGTAAACGAGCAAGTACAGCTCACACGATTATTTGATACTTATCTCAACGTAAAACATCACTTGTAGGGGATTACTCTTTAGACAAATTCTGCCTGGATTGGAGCCACTACTTACCTCACTGAGAGAAATAGCTCAAAGACGTCGGAAAACAATACCACAGGTAAACGTATAGTTTCACTTCACTAATATTTACTCCCTTTGAACTTAGTACTTTGAAATCACCAGGTAAGAGGTATAGCTATTAACATAAAAGTCGCAATGCAGGTAGCTATAAACTGGTGTATATGCAAGGGTACAATTCCTATCCCTGGAGTCAAGTCCGTAAAACAAACTGAAGAGAACCTGGGAGCCCTTGGTTGGCAACTCAGTTCTGATGAATTGCTCCAATTAGAATACGCAGCTCTTGATTCTCCACAGAAGATGATCCAAAACGTATTTCAGACGAAGTGACAACTTCTCCAAATAATAGATATGTTTAGGAAGATATACTTATAGAAGGCAATATTCGAGCTGAAGGATACCAATGTACACATTTGCTCTTCGAAAATGCATATTCTCAAATATCTGCAAGGTAGCTTTGTGCAAAGGTGTAATTTATATCCTATTCACCGGAGGTAAATTTTTAGATCCTTTGTCTCAAGGCTAAGAGAGTAGGATCACAACATTCGAGATATGCCGACTGCTGGTAATAACAGAAAACCCTTCAACCAAAGAACCAACAGTACTTAATCGAAAATAAAGAAAACAAACACAGCCCATAATCATAACAAACTCAAAAGAGCACTAAATTCTTTTTGTAAATGGAACTGGGGTCTAAACAAATGTGCCGCAGTTAAACAGACAACAATAGATCCACCAAAAAGTGAACTAAGCAAAAGAACTACAAAATCATGTGATTGGCATAACATCTCCGCAGGAAATGCAACCGACTGTCTACTTGATCTTCTTCTTTGGCCTCAACTGCAAAGCAAGTAACAAAAGAAACAGTTTAGTGTATGGAGTCGAGTTCAACAACATACATGATACAAATCTTGCAGAAAATTCTCAAGTTACCTGGTTGCTGTGACCACATTTCTTCTTCCTGCAGTTCACAGCACGTGGATGCAAACGGGCATAGCACCTGCAGAAAAAAACATGATTAAGCTGGAGTTCTGGATACATGTGACCCTCAAATGATATAATAATAACTGAAGAGAAAATGGACGTGTTCAACAGAATCTTGAGCAAACAACACACTTCCGGTATACCAAATTACCATTTCAAATGAATACATACGTCAGTACACCATATACTAAGCACCTTCTCCTGCTAACCCGCCCCGTGTGGTAAAATAATATTAGAACATAAATGTGTAAATTGGTATAGTGGAGGATCTAGAAACAGGGTTGATAGCAGTTGATAATAGTTGGTAGATTTTCACACATTATGCCTTCCAAGAACCTTAATTTTCCTTTAACCAAAGCACACAACCCAAAGTGTGCAAGCTAGAATCAGAGAGAAAACAGCTACTAATATTGTTAGTTTCGTGTTCAAGGTGTTGCACCAGAGATGTTTTTTTTTGGACTAAACCCAACTCACAACTTCCCATCCACCATTTTTAGCTTTCTATCCATTTAATCACCGTGTTGGAAGTTTTTTATTAACCATCAGTGGAAAAGGTCAGGACATAGACATCCAAATGCAACCTAAGCAAAGGTCAAGACATTGACACCCAAATGCAATCTAAGCACGCATTCATAAAGGACTGTGATTTTAACACAAAAACATTCTTGTACAGACCATCTTAAAGAGTTTAAATTCAACTGAAACAAATACATCTTGCCACAACAATAATTTGATATGTGGAGTTCATCAAATGATAAGAGATAAGTAAACCAAAGCGCTAAATGTAGAGCTTACTTGCGGCAAATCATCTTCTCTTGGTTGTATTTCCTGGCCAAGGCCATAAGAGACGGTTCAATGATCCCACCTCGGAGCCTCAGGACAAGATGCAGAGTTGATTCTGTTTTATACAAAATAAAATTCATTAAAAAGGCAAGATAATAAACAATAAAACAATCGCTAATATTGCGAACTGTTAATCCAACACAGACCTTTTTGGATATTATAATCCGCCAGTGTACGCCCATCTTCAAGCTGTTTACCAGCAAAGATCAGTCGCTGCTGGTCCGGTGGAATACCTATATACAGAACCCATAAATTCATTTGTTGAGATCCATTCATTAGTTCCATTTGAACGCCATTTCAGTTCCACAGATCAAATACGAGAAGAAATTAAACCAAAAAAAGATCAAATTTTTAACAGATGAATACCTTCCTTGTCCTGAATCTTGGCTTTGACATTGTCGATGGTATCGCTGGATTCAACCTCAAGGGTTATGGTCTTCCCCGTTAGGGTTTTCACGAAGATCTGCATCTTATCTTTCTGATGGAGATTAGGGTTTTTTTCTTCAGGAAGCTTATATTGGGGGATTTTAGGGTTTAGGATTTCCCCTTGATGAGAACGACGTCGTACGAGTGTGCCAATGTAAGGGTAAATTTCACTTGCCACCTGTGTAAATTCTGTAATTATTCACCTCCCTCTGCATTTGAATATGACAAATTAATGAATTATGCTTTAGATGTAGAAATGGTAGTATTTATTTACGCTAAATCAAGCAATATAATTAAAAATAAAAATGCATACATTTAAACTTAATTGAGTAATATGTGTATGTGAATATGTTACCTTCATTACTTAAATTACCAAACGAGTAAAAGATACGGGAGTTGTTTGATAGTTGGTTAGCATTATGCAGATATTAGTAATGTAAGAATAAGTTTTGAATGAATCTATGGAGTATTATTTTATACTCCATGTATTAGTTATTCTATCTTCTATTGTCCATAAAATACTAGTACATCTATTTCTTCGTAACTTATACATCTTATTTATGTAGGTTTCTAAATTATCAACCAAACGTCATATTAATAACTTATTTTCTATCTACCTCCTAAACGTCGTATAAGTTGTATGAAAACTAATAAATGGATAATTTATTTTTTATCCGGTTAGTTAGAGTTGTGCAAATATTAGTAATATATGGATTAGTTATGGATGAATTTATGTATAATTTTATGCAGAGATTAATTATTCATCGAGTGATAGTTAAATATGTATTAGTTATTCTACCTTATATCCGGCATAAAATAATGGAGAAACTGCATAATTGGAAGTATTACGTATTTTATCATATATACTATTATTACATATACTTTCGAAGTATTACGTATTTTATCACTAATGAGGAAGTTCCTACTAAATATTGAGGAAGATACACCTATATACGTGTATTTTTACTACCATGTGCACTAAAATATGGAGAGAGGCGAGTGAGATTTGTTTTGTATCTCATATACATACGAATCACACTAGATACATGTATTTGTATGTATCTGATGTGATTAGCATGTATATAGGATACAAATACGAGCGAGATGGGGGAGAGGCGAGTGATACAGTGTATCTAGAACAAACTATATTAAATTTTGACCTCATGTATTCTAATATACATGTATCTCAACGTATCTGGACGCACCAAAATTTGATAAAATATATAATATTACAAACTAAAGTATATTTATGTAATTAGTTCCCAAACTAGTGGGATTTATGTGAGTTCCCAACAATAATATATATTTCTTTATAACTTTTAAAACTATCAACCAATATAGCATTCTAAACACTAAACGATTCCTTAGCACTCTAAGGAATCAAAAAAAACTTCTTGTTACTCTTTAAATTAAGCTTCATTTTAATCAAGTATGATATATCAAAGACCAAAATAACATAACATCTATATATGAAGGATCAATGATAGTTTTTTTCTATATATTACAAACAATAGTAATCATTTATGGATAATTTATTTATAATTCTGCTAGTTAGAGTTAAATTTATGTAAATATTAAGAAGGTAGAAATATTAGTTATGCAAATATTAATAAAATAGCGATTGAAATTATAAGGAATCAAAGAAGAGTTTTTGTTACTCTTCAAATTAAGCACCATTTCAATCAATTTGATTACTACGTTTTGTTACTCTTTAAATTAAGCACAATTATATATAATAAATAAAATACGGAGCATGATCGTTTTCTCTATATTTTATACAAACAATAACCACATTGAATGCCACGCCCAGCTGCTCACCAACCCAAAACCTCCAGCAGACTAACTTCTTTCTTTGTGTGTCGCCGATGGACCAGTCACTTCATTCTTATTTAATAGTAGTAACATGGCAGAGTGTGCACTGAGCCTAGCCTCCTCTTCTCCCGTTCTCTCGCGCATCTCACCTACCCGATTCTCTCCTATCCGCCGACCTATTCTGTTGACCTCTTCGTTTGTTGCTGGAAAGCCACTTTTTTGCTCTCACCCGCATCGGAGAAACTCAGTGTTGAGTACAAATTCCTGGAGATCTCGGTGCCGTACAAAAGCATCAATGGCTGAGAGAGTGAGAGCGAAAGTGGAAGTGTACGATTCCGAGGAGGAACTTGCTGTGGCTCTAGCGAAGTACACTGCCGATTTATCGGAGAAATTTTGCAAAGAGAGAGATGCTTTTACTGTGGTTGTTTCCGGTGGTTCACTTATCAAGTCTCTCAGGTATTGATTGATTAATTCTATTCGATTCTACTAGTATTATTTTGGGGGTATATTTTTGGATTGCTAATGTTTGTTGCAGGAAATTGGTGGAGCCACCATATATTGATTCAATAGACTGGTCCAAATGGCACGTTTTCTGGGTGGATGAGAGAGTGGTTCCAAAGGATCATCCTGACAGCAATTATTTGCTTGCTTATGATGGTTTTCTATCCAAGGTATATTTGCTGCCCTTCCTACAATATAAGTATTGATTTTATTTATTACTGCTGCCTCAGTGTGTAGTGTAGTTTCTTCATTAGCTTTCTTCCCATTATATTTCACCACTCCTCTGTTTATTTGTTGTTTTTCCCAACTGTTGTGATCTTTTGCTTGTTAGCCCGATCAAAATGTAGGACGCAGTAGGTTTATTGCACTAGTGATTTCTTCTCATTTGTTCAATCAGATACCCCTAGGTATTAGTAGAGGTGCCCGGACACCAGGTTATAAAAAAAGTTTTCTTTTTTTCTAGTTACGAGCTATGCTGATGGTCTCAATCTCCTTAAGAAATAAGTTTTGCAGGGGGGAATGTGAACAGAGACTAAAGTGCACAGTATTGATGGAGAATACATCTAGAGTTATTCAGATTCTCATCCATCAACTCCAGATGAAATATTTGGGAAAATCAGTTGAGAAAGTAATTATGTGAGGGTAGGCCAGCGGTAACAAGGAATGCAAGTCATGCATACTATAAACATATCTTTTTCCGTAGTCCCATAGATTAAGAAATTAAGTAAGATAAGCCTGCTAATGTATCAGTGAGAACTAAAATGATATGATGTTCCCTGTTAAAATGTAAATTCACATTAGATTTCTTATCTTTAACACATTTTGTGCACTCTCTGTTCAATAGATCAAATAATAAATGTTGCTCTTACGTCTAGCACGAAAATCATTTAAGTTTCATGAGATCTACGAGGAAGAAACTTCCAGGGAAGCACCTCTCAAGATTCAGTTTAATGATCTACAGACCTTACTATTCCAAAATCTTAAGGAAGTAAAGATCCTTGTGGTAAGCTGCAACCAAAGACTGCTGCCTCTTCTTGGATAGAGCAAAGGCAGTCGATGTTATTTGATTAAATGTGTAATGACTCAGGTGCTTGGCTGGTATTTGACATCGTAAAAGATGGCAATGCAGAAAGAAAGATGGCTTCCCCTTTCTACCTCTATGGGGTGTACAATATTTGCTTTCTCACGTTTACATTTGAGAATTACACAGTTTCTATTGTGATTTGAGAGAAACATATGCTTTGCAATGGGCTAAAATGACAGGAGAAGCCGTCACTAGTAATTAGATTTCATAGGTAGGAGAAAGGAAAAAAAATTGTCATTAGAGATAAAATGAGTGTTTGCCAGAAGCTTTTTGACAAATTATGGGTAAGCGGAACCTACCACTGAGGTGCAGGGGAGAAGCACTTGGTATACGTAAGAACCTTGAGCCCTGCAACTGATACCCCTATTCACCCCTTTGGGATGTCGCCATTTGGCTTTAGCTCCTTGTTGATTGGCCCTATCTTTTGGCACCCTCGATCAATAATGTGCAAAGCTATTCTGCAAAATTAACCAATTTATCTAGTGTTGTTTTATTTTTGGTGTAAACAGAATATTTTAGTACAAGCAGAAGATTTCTTGGATGTTTTAGATTATTTGTAAGAAATAGTGGTGATAGGCGGCAATATAATTAGTCTGTAATACCTTTTGAAGGGGAACTACATATTTTGGATGTAGTATACCCCTGTGAATATATAGGTTAGTGTTACTATCCTCGAAAAAAAATAAAAAATAAACCAATTTATCAGTTTTAGTTTTTTTGACTTAGAAGGGGAAGTGAAGATAAGCCCATCTTCCGCTCCTACAAAAAGCTAATCCCCTCTCTTTTTATTTGATAGAAAATAACACTAGTTAGCCAGATCGAGTTTTATACTTAAGACATCCTTGTAAGTAAAGTGTGGTAAGTCTACACTTGGATGTGGATTTTAGATCTTTTGGGTGTGGGTTGTCATTTGAATAGTCTCTTCAAGATGGACGGAAGAAACAATCTCTACCTATGTGGATTCTCTCTCTCTCTCTCTCTCTCTCTATATATATATCATATGTGACGAAGACAAGCAATTGGTATACATGATCATATCTACCATGGAACCAACTGTGCGGAGAAGCTGTATGTTAAATAAGTTTTAGATTACATATTCTTAAGATATGTGATGATGTTACGTAATTCATGTAAAAACAACAAATGAAAAAGAAAATCTTTGCACTGTAGAAAATGTTGGAATAAACAGAATCCACTTTTTTATTAGAAAACATTAAAGTTTGCTTTTGGTTCACAGAATTCTGATATAAAATTACTTCTTATAGAACCTGTCAACCCCTGAAGCCCTCCTTAAACAACTGAGGTCCCTTTTTTCTTTTGTGGGGGGTTTTGTATTATGAAAAATGATGGAATATTAGCAAAATACTTCAAACATTTACAATTGTAGAGATTACCTAATGAAATGATTTGGAGATTTTTGTAGCTAGAAGAGTTTAGTGGGGTTGAGGTTTAGAGGATCAACTGAAAAGTAATTATAGCTTAAGCACAATTGACAATTGTGCATGTTAGGAAACTTAAAGAGCAAAAGTTGCCCAACTCAATACCATGTGGAGTTGCTGATAAGATCAGTTGGACACTTTATGTTGACTTCGCTGAATTCCTTCTAATATAAGGATGAATAAGTGGGTTTGAATCGCACCCTCAATGTTGACCTACTTACCTTCAGTTAAGGCTCTTCGT